GATCATTGATCAGAGAGCTCCAGGACAGAGAGAACTTACTCTACAGAGGCAGGAATGGAAATAACGATCTGCTCACTGAGGTGACTGGCTCTTCATAATGCCTGCATAATCATTGTAGTGTGCGATCTACATTAGGACAGGGGCCTCAAATCAACATGCCATAGAATACCAGACTTGGATCACTCTCAGCCCTCTCCGTAAGGAAATAGATTCCCTAGTAAGTTAGGAGAGAGATAACTATGGATCTGTACTTAAGATATATTGTGATCTTATGTAGAAGACAATTCCTCATGGATGTGGCTTATAGAGCACCAACCACCAAGTGCTCCTCAAAAGTTTACCAAAAAGGTTTTCTAGCTCTAAGTTTTTAATCTTGAGGAAAAAGACATGCCTTGCTCTCCTTATACGATGAAGCAAGAATTGCTTCACCATGTTCTTGCTTCCTGTTGCCTTTCACACCAACTTTCTTTAGCAGAGCAATTAGCTCAGCCAACTGATTCCTGCGATTCAGGCACAGTTGAGATCCAGGAAATTGCGTCATGAGAATTTTTTTCTTAATGTAACAGCTAACTGATGACACAACTACACTCCCAAACTCCTAGGCTTTAAGACTATAAAAATAAGACAAATAGAATTATCACTACTATGGCTAGTAGGCAAATAGAATTATCACTACTATGGCTAGTAGAGAATCAAATCTGAGACTCAGCTACTCAACTGTGCAAATATGTGACCTTCATGGAGGCACTTAACCTGGGTTTTCTTGGCTGTCAAATGAAAATAATGCCTTGCATGCCTTCCATAGTTACAGTGATAGAAATCCTCCATTAAGTCAGTATTAGTACAAGGATTTGGTAGCAAGTAAACCCGGGTATAAAACCTGGCTATAGCACTTGTGAAGTCTGTGAATTTGAGTAAATACTTACTCTTTGCAAGAGACTTAATAGCAATACCTACATTAAAGAATCACGTTGAGCAGTAAATGAAAAAAGAAGTATGTTTAGAGCAATGTCTGGATAGCCAATCAAGTTTAATCTGTTTTACTGCTATGCTAAATATGATCAAGGAATTACAGAAATCTGAATTTTAAATCATAACAGCATCACCTCTCACCTATCATTAAGGGCATGATTGTATCTGATATTTAAGACCCAGCAGGAACCCAGAGCCAGAAACTTTGGAAAAGCTCTGAAATCAGGTCATTCTCTATGATAACCAGAAAGCCCAAGGGTAAAGACTTTCAATTATAATACATGATTGAGATCCAAAGTACAAAGTAGAATGGTGGGGAAAAACCCACATATATATTTATAAGGTGCATCTTTGCAGTTTTAGAGAATTGCCCTGAGCCGAAATCAACTCATGAACCACCATCACTGACTGGTTCAATAAACCCTAGGAGCCCCACTAGATCCCAAACACTGTGCTGAGTTTCATTGAACAGTCCCTGTCTCTGTCCTTGACTTCTGTAGTTCCTGAACACAACAGATTTGGACAAGTAAGTACTGAAATCTGGAAGTTAAAACAAAAACAAACCCAAAAAATGAAAACAAACAAACAAACAAAAACCATGGAAGTGCCCCTTTAACGTGGATTATTCTGGAAGTTGCTACATAGTTGAGAAAATTGCCCCAGCATCAGTTATGGTGGCCCATTCTAAACTCAAGGTAGCACCAAGTTTCTCTGTCATAAAGTTCCTTGATGTTCGCAGTGTAGCTCATGGAATTACATTCAACAGTTTCACTAACATGAACTAACAGAAATCATAATTTCTTCCTAGGGAGTAAGTCCACCTTACTTCATGCCAGGTCAGAAGCAAATGTGGAAATCGGAGTTATAACAGGACGACATATATCACACTTTGTCAATTTGTTCCTTTCCTGAAACTGACATGCATGGTTAAAGTATTTTAAATTAATTTTAGTTTTAGACACTATCAGAATCTGTGTGACAATGCCTTTAGTAATACTATAGGTATGGAGGGTTTCAGGTTCTTTGAAATGAAGATTAGTACTTGGAGACTTTGAATTAAACTCTTTTAAAAGTAATTCAAGGGAAAAAATTTCCTTCTGAAGATCTTAGAATCAGCATTTCTCTCAAGTCACACCTGTTAAAAATAATTTTTGCTTTACTTACATGGGTTGAGATATGGAGTCTCACTTTTGATCTTGTGCTGCCTGCAGAGGCTGTTCAGAGGCCATCCTAGCAGCCCCCCTTTGACTGATGATTTGGTGAATGGGGAAGGTTAGTGAAGCACAATGTACAAGGTAGTCAAGATGACAGATGCTAATAGAGAGGAAGATCAGGCAGAGAGAGGGAGTGTGCAGCTTCCAAATACTGAATTGAACTGTCAACTGTGAATCTGTGGCCTAACATAGGCCCTGCTAGGTCAGGACAGCAGGAACAACGAAGGGAATTTGCCTGCCAAATCCAGGACAACAACTGGCCTAAAGGAGCCTTTTTACCTTGGGGAAGATAGCCCAGAAAGTGGAAGGGGACAAAAGTAACTTGTCCTCCTAGAGACTAGATGGTCTTGCTGTTAGCATGACAGATGCAGGCAGCCCTGACTCCCTGGAGCATCTATCAGAGCCAGGGTTGTGCAAGTCTAGTACTAAGAGAGAAAATTAGCCTTAGATCTAAGATAACAAAGCTTCCCCCACTTAGTGTGTGCTGGACCTGAGCTGCTTACATCAGGGACAGCCTGGCCTCTTCTGTGTTGCCTCTTTTAGTCTCCTCTCTGTTAGGAGGTGGTGGGGAGGGGAGCTGCTTCCATGCCTTCTAACTTGGTTTTGATCTCCGGAAGGGAGAGCCCCTGCCCCTCTTTGAAGCAGCAGCCAGCACCACTTGTCTCTTCTCTCCTTCCCGCAGGCACTTCTGTTCAGAGTGGTGCCTCTTGCTGGCGCCTTCTGCTTCTGCTCTGTCCCCCTGCTGATTGGGAAGAAAGTGCACCAGTGGGGTGATGGGGTCTGAAACTCTTAAAGGAGCAGTTTTATTTCTGTTGAGAATTTATTTAGAATGTTGCTTGTATGCCTTTTCCCAATCAACAGATCCTTCTAATGAAAATAAAACAGGTAACAATTGACCATAATCCTCATTTAAATGTTAATTGTAGATGTTCTGGATTTGCATAAGCATTTTTAAACAGATCAAGCATTTGTTCATGGTGACAATCATTATTAGCAATCAAATGGAATTTGAGCATCACTTGCTGAGGGCATAATGTATGAGGGCCATGAGTCTGAATGGGGCATTTCTTGTCAAAAAAGGACTCACTCACAAGGCAGAAGATAAACAAGACACACAGATCATTTTTAACCCCACCCCCACTATTTTTAAATACTGTAGTAGCAGCCATATCCTAGTGGAGTTAACACAACCTGTAGCTAGTTAAGGAGCTAATTTGAAACATAGTCTCCCTTTGGCTGTCCATTGGTTGATTTTTTGTCAATCCAAAAGTATCTGTTGAAGACTTGGTTCCATGCAAACTACCCATTGGGTAAAGTCCCACTAAATACAGAAATTGTAACATCTTGGAGCTTCACTACAACGTGCTTTCTTCCTTTTACCCCCACCCCGGAAAAAAAAGTAAAATAAACTAAGCCCTGGGCATAAGCAATCCAAAGATAGAGCTGTGGCACTTTCTACAGGGTTTTATGGTGCATGGCTTCTCTCGTTCAAAGTTGCAATCTGACTTATTTTTCCCCTTCTAGGAGAAATGTTAGATCTTGAGCAAATGACCTAGTGGGGACTCTTAGTTCATCAGGATCAAAAAGCAAGGTTATCTGGATGATTTTGAGTGTGTGAGGTGATTGAAAACAAATATTCGAATAGGAAAAGAGAAGAGATCAGGATAAGGCAGATGGCCACTAGGGTAACTCTTTAGTTGTACAGATGGGAAAACTGAGGCTAAGAACTTCTGTCAATGTTGTCTACCGCTCTGCTCACTTCCAGCCCTAGTATTTCAGCACTGTGCCAATACTGCACCTTCCCTGTAAGGACCATAGGGAAGCAATTCAAATGACTGAGACTCCAAACAGAACAAGCCTTTGTAATTCTCTATATCCTTTTCTCTTGAGTAGGTGAGGAAACTTTTCCTTTAAGGAACTCGCTGAAGGAATGAATTCATCCTTTCCAGGACTAGAAGGACAAGCAGAAAGGAGGAGAGAGGTGTGGTTAAGCCCTCCACGTGCAGAGAGACCATTCTCAAGCCAGAAGGGAGAGAAGCAGCTGGTGCGTGGGATAGTGGGCACACACCCAGCGGTTTTCCTGTTTCTCAGAGAAGGAAAATGCAGGAGGTTTTTGCCCAAAGCACAAGGTTGGAAGAAACTAGCACTGTAACCACTTATCCCAAGGACCACTCAAGGGGCCGCCCTTTATCCCTCCCATTGCAGCTTACTAAACCCAGGGTCCAGAGCTTGCTGACCTCCTGAGCGACCAGTATTCCTTCAGCCTAAGAGGATATTGCAGCGTGAACTCGAGCTGGGATGCGCAGCACGGCAGAAATAGTGAAGGTGACCGCCCTGTCCTCCCTGAACACATATGCCCCGTGAGGCAGCCCTGAGGGATGCTGGAGACTCAAAAGTTTGATCCTGTGGTCTGAAAAGAATGTCTTGGGCAGGGACTGCTGGCAATGGCAGCAGGGTGCTAGCCCTTTCTTGCAGCAGTTTGTGCACTCTTTCTTGATGGCAAGTACTACATCTCAGTGGTAGGTTGGGGTGAGGGTGTCCCGTTCTGCTAGTCTACATTCTGGTACAGTAAGACCACCTTCTGTGTCCTCCTGTCTATGTCCCAGGATCTCCTCAGGGTCCTGGGCTGAATCTGAGTCTTCAGCTCTGCAACTGCCCCATCAGCTGATTTTGACAGGGGGTGAGGGGCATCTAGGAGCACAGGCGGGCGGGGCTAGCCCCTGCCAGATCCAACGATGATAACGTGTCTGCTCCATGTCGCGGCTTCGAGCTGTCCGGGCTCCGCCCCCTGTGAGTGTGTAAGTGTGTGATGCTGTCTCGGCCGCCGCCGCCTGTGCAGCCGCCGCCGCCGCCGCCGCCGCCGCTGCTGCCGCCCCGGCTGCCGCGCCGCGCCACTGCCACTGCCTCGCTCGCCCCCGCCTCTGCTGTCGCCACCCGCCCGCAGCCTGCCAGGCGGGCGGCCCAGCCGGCCCCAGCTCCAAGCGGCCGCCACCGCAGCCCGGACGCGCTGGGCACGCGGGCAGCCGCGGAGCGAGTGGACCAGAGCGGGAGGTCAGGCTCTTGCCTGCCCGGTGCCATCGCTTCCGCCACTGCCGCCGCCACTGCTCCGGAGCGCAGGACCAGGTACCCCGGGCGCCCGCCGCTGCCTCTAATGAGGCCCCAGCACTTTTAACCGGGCAGGAGGGCCAGAGAGCCGCGCCGCCGACCGCAGCCAGAAAGCCGCGCAGCTCAGAGCCGCGCCGACTTGCAGCAAGCAGGGACAGACGGCCGCTAGCCGCCGCCGCCCCGCCGCTATGGATCTATTCGACTTTTTCAGGGATTGGGACTTGGAGCAGCAGTGGTAGGTGTTAAAATTTCTCTTCTCTTATGATGAGCGGGATTCTCGGTCTGGTCAGGGCTTTTCGCCTTTGTTAAGAGGAGCCAGAGCTGTTGTGGGGGCGCCCCGGACACTCTCCCACTTGCTCCCAGACACCTCTAGCTTTGGCTTCAGTGACTCCTTGGTAGAGTGCTGGGATGGGGGAGGTGCGGGGACAGGGAAAGATGCGGGCAAAAGCATCCCTTTGCTCTCTAAGTCTAAAGAGTTGCAGCTGGCCCATAGCAGCTTCAGTGCCACCCACCCGCACAACAACCTCCTGGGGGCTTTTCTCACCAGGGTCTCCTTGGGTAGGATCCAGTCTTAAATGCTTTAACTTTCCAGTTGCCAGTGCCTGCAGCCAGTGGCGGGAGAAAAAGCGACAGCCAGGTACCCAGAGGCCACCCTCAGCTTGCTTAGCGGCCACCGCCCACGCTGTAGCCACCTCAATCCCCACCCAGAAAGGCATGGGTCCAAAATCTTCCCTAATGCCTCTCCAGCCTAAGTTCCTCTTCTCAGAGCAGCGCCTTCAGGGGCCACCGAACTAGGAACCTCCAGCCTTTAGCCCTTGTCTTTCAACTGGAAGGGTGTTTGAAGTTGGCCCCCATAGTCTGCAGCTCCAAAGTCAATGAACATTTAATTAGCCTCTGAACTCCCATTGGCTTCCCAGTGGGAGGCAGCCTTAGGTTTGTGTATTGGACACACAGCTAGAATCCCAAGATTTAGCTTGCTTTAAACAAAATAACCTAAAGTTGCTGCGAATTCCTGAAATACAGTGCAAAGGTGACTTGGGTTGGGGTGGGGGAGCAGAAAGTTCTTCCTCTCTGTGGTGATGTACAGGCAGGCGCACATGCATACTGCTCCTTGGATCTAATAACTTTAGAAAAACTTCACCCTTTACTACAAACATTATCGTTCTTTATAAATCACAATATTTTAATATACCAGAACCCTCCCGCCCATGCCCAAGTATTTAGATGAGGAAGGAGGCAGCCACAGCAGCAGAGACTTCGAATGGCACTCTTGCCCTTTAAATGTAGTGAGAAGAATCTGTAGTGCCCACCAACAGTTTGAAATCTTGTGCAATGTTCAGACTATGAGCTGCTAGCAATGACTGCTGTGCCTTTTTTTTGCAGGGATTCCCATCGTCAATGTCATGTTTTAGGCAATTTTCTTCTTTAAAAAAGGGTCAGATGCTTGCCCAATAGCTTTATTATGCCCCTCATGACTGCTTGACTGCAAATCCAAGATACCTTACATTTTTGTTTTATAGAAATTTCAAATAAATCATCGAATATATCAGTATTTATTTATAGACATTTTAAAAACTATGTAGGATTTTATTAGCTATGAGGAAACATTATAGTTAAATAATCTGTTCTTAACTCAAATTTTAAAATTTCTTGAAATTACTGCTCAATTTAATGTTATATTTCTGAATATGACATTTACTCTGCTATAGTAATTTACTTTCCTGACAACTGATAACCACAGCATTATTATCTGCATGCAATTTGTCTAATATATGTTTTAGGTAACACTACTAATTTAATAGACATTGTTATAATTGATTTAAAGGCTTAGCTGAACATTTAAGCTATACTGGGAATTAGGTTTCTGAACACATGTATTATTGTTTTAATTCTAGTTTAATATTATACATGTGTAGTTGAATATTTAGAGGGGATGCGAACCTTTCTGCTTAATTTCTGGTTTATAGGAACATGTGTGCCTCTTTCTCTTTAGAAATTTCTATTCTTAAGAAAAATACATAATCATTTTCCTCCTGATCTGTAACTGTGTCACATCCATTTTAGAGCATGCTGACCGATTTGGTAGATGTGATAGAAAATACTGATGGAATGGCATAACATATCTGCATAAAACAGAAGAGGCTGCCTTCCCTTTCTGTATACACGATCCACATAATTTTCCTTCTTATTGCTTGGTTGTGAAGGGCAAGTTTCTTATGAACCTGGGTCTACATTTTTAGTGTTTGTAATGTGGTATGCTTCTTTAAGTACCTCCATAGAGAAAAGAAACACAAATACGACCATGATGTATAAACTGAAAAGCTTGATATTCTTAATCATAATGTATATATCCTTCAAAACATACATGTTTGCTATATGTTTATTTCGATTTCGTGAAAATAACTAGAGGGTTAAAGGGATGATATGCACTACCCCATGTATGTAAAAAGACAGATGAGAGGGAAAGGCATAAAAGTTAAAGAGCTCATTTGCATTAAACCTATTCACTTGTGGAACAACAAGCTTGAAACTATTTCTATGTTAACTCTACCTAGATATCTATCAATAAATCCATCAAGAGAGCTGAAAAAATTAAAAAATAAACCTCATGTCAATTTTCTAACCTTAATGAAGAATGGCTGCACATACACAGGTATATGCATTATTTACAAACACTTGGCTATAGTAAATTTTTTAAAACCTCCATGCACATTGATAAACATACTTATGTTAGGGCAAACATATACTCCAAATATGGGTTATGAATGCTGCTTCATTGTGCAGGTATGTGCAATGTCTGGGAGTGCTCATATGCCTTACAGAATGTATCACTGGATTTTGCAAACTGCAATGGTAGCTTAATGGGTCATGCAAAAGCTCAAGTTCCTTAGGATTCCTGGATGCATGAGCAGTGTTCACCTGAGGTGGAATTTAATATGAACCATTCTGTGAAAGGAAAGGAAGGCACAGATCTTTATGCCTGCCAAATACATCATTTTATCTTTCTAAAAGAAGGAAAAATATGGAGGAAGGAAGAGGAAAGCATAGTTCGTGCTTTTTAAACCATTCCACAGATTTGTCCTTGTTAAACAAGTAAACGAATTCTTGAGGTATCTGGAGATCATGTGGCTAGATTTGGACGTCTATATCAGCAGTGGCAAAGACATTAATATAAATATAAAAGCTTACAAATTGTATAGGTTTTCTATCCCGTAAGCACCTACTTCCGTAGCATTAAAGTGCCCCTTTGTAGTATGCCAAATTTCTTTTTGTGAGGCATTTACCTTTTAATTAAAAAATAAAGTGTGTGTTTGTGTGTGTGTGTACATGTGTGTGTATGTGTGTGTATGTGTGTTCAGTGGGTAAAAAGATAAAGAGATAATTTTTAAGAACAGAAATGTAAAAACTCCCACGATAGCAAACCCCAAATATTAAAAATAATTCTTTTAAAGAAATTGAGATAGCGGCCGGATTCTCATGGCAAAGGACTGCATCAATTGTTTGTAGATTTTATATGATGTCTCACACGTAGCCTAATTAGAGGCAAGCTTGCAAATGGGCAGTTATACAGGAAGAGACTTAAACTCACTAAACTGTTATATAAATAGAAAGTTCAAAGGTCTATGTGAGGCTGTCAAGGCTGAGAAGGGGCCATGTGCCAGCCAGGCTTCTTCTATTTGGATGAAGGCAACCCCCAGGGCCTGCTCCAACAGCTAACACTTTCCCAAGTTTTCTGGACCTCATGGGGGCTGGAGGAGGGGACCTGCTTTCCAGACAAAAGTGAACTGTTCCAGCTCCAGCCAGGCATGGCATGGACCACAGCAGCCCATCTGCCTCCACCCACTCCTGTGTTCCACACAGGTCCTCTGGGGCTCCCTTAGCTACAGTCTACCAGAAGAGTAGAACAGGACTGGTTGTGGATGGGAAAATGTGGGAAATAGAGGGAGTACAACTTTTCTCATGCTGGGGCTACTAGGACAACACTGGGAGGGGTAGGAGTCTCATTTTCTTTAAGGCCTATAGGTTGTCAGAACTTCTGTTCTCAGCTGTCAGCCATTGATCTTTTCCCCTTTAAACTTTGTGGTACATTAAAAAGAAACTCTATAGTGCATGTTTTTGCCTAGTGTGATATATATTCTCTAGTATGCTTGAGTATTCACTCAGTAAACCATTTTGTATGTAGTGCTATAAAGAAATGTATAGGGAGGAGAGATTGAAAGTGGTAATATTTGCTCTTGATAAGATCCCCTCTACAATCTCCAGATATCCCTGCGAAGAATTAAGGCTATCTTAAAAATTACAGCTATTGGACAAGGAAGAAAATTATCTCGTGTTAGAAATCAGTTTAATGATACATGAATTGTTTTGTTTATGGTTCAGTCAAGCATTTAACAACTTTAAAATACACAAATCAAGATAGAAAATGACTGCCTCAAAATGTTTCAGTCATTATAGGCATTCATGACATCCCAAACACTTAAATATTTTATAGATGGATAAAGATTATATTGTATTAAAACATGTTAATTAATGCTGGATAAAAATGATTCAAATGTGTTGAACTTTTATTTTATCTCCATTATTCTTAGCTGTGACTATTTCTTTTGTGCAATATTTACACATGCTTAAAATTTCTAAAAGTCCAATGAGATGATCATCTGTAGAACAATCTCAAAGCTGTTTGCCTAAGAACTTTTAACTCTAGGTCATACTTCAGAGAGGTCAATCACCATATACTAGATTAATTTCTCATGTAGACAAAACAATTCAATGATAACATTTTTCTCTTTTAATTTTGTCTTCCTGTGGTGCCTATGAGATAGAGGAAGAGTAACTTTAAAAACAACATATTTACTGGTAAATGCAAGAAGAATGTGTGATGAAGATGAATGAAATCAAGAATTGAACTTGAAGAAAGTATCTTAAGGGCATGCACATGTGCATGTGTTTCAGCTGCAGTGGAACTCAGGCTAATCATCCCTATTGTAGTTTGAGTATTCATTCATTTGGGGGAGTTCTGTACTTCATACATTCAGTGCTCTACCTCACTTAATTTTTCCAACAACTTTCTGCAACATAATTGCCTAAGATGATAGTTATTTTCAGAGATGTCAGCTAGTTAGTAATGCAGGTCAGGTTTCACCCTAGATGCAGCGAATCTCAAGGTCATTTTGACAAGAGTATTTCCAACAAGTTCATTGCTATTCCATAAGACATGTCCTTTTATCATTGAGT